TTGGCCAAACAAAAAGAGCGTTGAAGTTTCGTATCAAGGAACATGAATCTTATGTCAAAAAAGGGGAAATTAACAAGTCTTCAATAGCGTATCATAGCTGGACTTTTAACCATAATTTTGATTTTGGGTCTGCAAAAATCATCCAAAAGGCTTCTTCCATAGGCGAATTGGATTTTCTTGAGGCTTTTCACATTCACAAAGATTTAGAAAGTTTAGTTAATGATTTGAAGTCCAATCCAGTCCTTCCTAATGCCTTTAAAATTCTACTGTCTTAATTCAATTATTTTTGCCGATAGATGGCGTTACCTCCTCGCACTTGGTACTACCAGAGGGTATAAAAATCCGTTCAGTGGTTGCTTTCCATTATTTGAAGTTCAGATTTTGAGCGTAATGTGCATTTGCCCCTCGCTCCCTATTTTAACTTCGCTAATATTTCTTTATGCTTGATCAGACAGCCTGGCTCAGTAAAAGTAGGCGGCCAGTGCAACTCTGATTAAAAATCTAGTTATAACCACGTGCAGTGCTGATAAGCACCACGTGTTTCTGTGATTCCTATTTTCTTCTTTCTATGTATTTCTTTCTCCTGATGAGGAGAGACCTTTAGCTGCCCTCGAAATCTATTGAGTGTTTCATTATACCTACGCTAAATATAATGTTGTTTTTTACGGTTTTGATAGTCCATTCAGTCCTGAATCATTACTATTGTTGTTATTATCGTTAATATCATTAGAATTACTGGGAGCAGCTAATCTACTCTCAGGTTTACGTGAAGGCTTTTTATTCTTAACACTATTAGCATATGAAATACCTTCCCTAGGAGTCTTTGTGGGCTTTCACAATCCCTCAGGGGGACAGGAGAAGGTTTGCTTACAGATTTAACACCACTGATTTTAACATTATTGACAGATTTAACACCAGTGATATCAACATTATTTATAGTAGCATTAGCATTATCAACATTAGTATATCTATTGTCATTATGAGGAAATTTAGGGCACCCACGATAATTCATTGGGTGACCTACCTGTAGACAGTTACAACATACTACCTCAACACGTTTGCTCGAACAGTCGGCAGTGCGGTGTGGCCCGGCACACTTTACGCACCGGGGCTTTAACTTGCAGGTGTCGGAGGAATGATGGAAGTATTGGCAGTTGTGACACTGCACAACACTTCCATTTACAATATATTTTCTAACGGTGACATAAAAATCCAAAAATTTTGTAATATTATAAATTTTTTCGACCCCTGGGGCTTTCTCCAGTTGTATTTGAAATAGGGGCATAGGAGCCCTGGTTTTGACTCTGTGTATTTGCGCCACACGTCGAACTTTGTAACCAAGCCTTTGCAGTTCTTCATGGATTTCCTCCGATGGCTGGTCGATGGGTAGACCCCTAATGACGTATTTTCAATGCTTGCATTTCAAACTCTTACTACCCGAACCCCTGGAAACTTGCAAAGATCATCATGATACCCAAACCGGGGAAAAATCAACTTCAACCAGACGGATTTCGTCCAATCAGTCTCCTCCCGAGCCTAAGCAAAGTCTTTGAAATAATTCTACTGGAAAAAATGAAGTCTTATCTCACCTTACTGTCCCTGAACAATTTGGGTTCAGAGCTTACCTTTCAACTTCCAAACAACTAGTAAGATTGATTGAGCTTATAGGCTCAGCTTGTCACTGTAATCAAAATGTTGCTATCCTCATGCTGGATGTGGCGAAAGCTTTCGACCGCGTCTAGCATGAGGGTCTCATAGGGAAACTTATTGATTTCAACTTTGAGCTCCTGCTAATTGTTTTCTCTTTTATCACCAGCAGAAAATTCGTAGTTTCTGTTCACGGTGCCTTCTCTTCAGAACGTCCAATTCACAATGGAATTCCTCAAGGGAATGTGTATTAGGCCCAATTTGTCTCTTCTATACTGCTTCTATACTGTCTCTTGTATGCTGCAGACTTCCCTTCTGTACTCTACAACATTAAGCTCAATTTTAGCTTGTTACGCAGACGACACTGCTTTTGCGGTGAAATCTGCAATTGTGAATCATGCAGTTAAAAAACTCCAAGACTACATCCCTTTCATAGAAGACTGGTGCAAAAAGTGGAAAGTACAAATTAATGCATCCAAGTCTCAACTACTCATCATCAGAAAAAGGAAAAATAAAAAGAACCTAAAGAGGCAACTCCTATTGTTTAATGAACCCATACCTGTTGTGAAACATGCTAAGTACTTAGCATGTTTCACACGAAGCGAAGGCCCGTCTACACGAAGCTATTTTCTCGGCCGACATTCTCGCAGAGCAACAATTTTAAGGATCTGCGCATGCGCCAAAAATCGGTCATGTTCTCTGCCGCGATTTCAGAACTGGTGTTCACTGCTCACTAGCGTACGATAAAATCGGAGTCTCTAGCCAATAAGATTGCTTTGAGTGATCACGTGCTTTTCTTCTCATTTGGAATAATAAACATGGCTGCATTTCGTTGGAGCGGAACTCAACTAATAGATTTCTATAGAGAAAATATTGTGTTGTGGGACGCGAGTACTGTAAATTTTAAAAATAAAAAATTAAGGGATTTTCTTATTTTGATAAGATTTGTCTTTCCCACTACTTTATATATTCAAATATTTTCTAATTCCGGGTGAAAATGATTTTTAACTCCTCCAAGATCCAAAAACTATTAATGATGCCGTATCATGGGTACTAGACGAAAATATTCAGAAACTACTTGAAACTGTGGTCGCACTTATTGAAAGAATTCAAAAATCAAAATCTCCAGTCGAGAATAAAGCAGCGCAGAGACTCAGTTGACTTTGCCGAAAATGAGAATTAATCAGGTGACGAAGTACATAGCTTTTCCGACAGTTCCTATACGAGAGATCATAGCCTAGTTGTAAAGAGTGACTAGGGACCCTATTCACGACAAGGAGCGTAAATAACGATCTTCTCTTAACGGACGACCGCTAAATTTCACGGCTCCAGTAACCGTAAGGACTGTTGGTTAAATTGGCATTCGTGACAACGACCGTCAGAGGAATCCTTACGGTAAGCAACCTTCGTTCGAGAGTTGGGAAACTTCGTTAAAATAAGCCAATCATATTACAGTTACTAGAGACACAGGTTGACTCATCAGCCATGTTCAAGCGTGGGCCTCGTATTGTAGCCACGCTTTAGGGTTGTAATTAAGGTTTCGGGTGCCATTTTTGGCTCCTTTGTGGTGTTCGCTAAAACTTTATTACTTAACATTTTAGGGTATTCAAACTTCCGATTTTTTGCATTCAAATAATGATGTGTGGCTTTTGCCCCTTTCTTTTCTCTGCAGTTCAGCTTATTTCTTGTATTTTTTTAAAATGCGAAATTTCTCATATTTAAGTTATTTTAAAAGTTTCTAAAACATTTTCATATATTATATTTCACATTTGTATATTAGTTAAAAATACTTTCTTTATTGAATTTTCAATTTTTACTTGTAAATACATGCATAATGTTAAGCATCTCAAAATCTATTTTTTGACAATAAATTCCTCGCAGCTGTGTGATTAAATTTTTATGATTTATAATCATACTTTCATAGTTATTTAACTTTTTTCCTTTTAGAATTCAAGGTAATTTCATGTGTCATATAAAAATTAGACGTCTCTATTTGTATGATAATTCTTAATTTCTGAGCTATGGCATTTCAGTACTGATGGAGTTAAGCATATTACTTTTATTTACATTACATGTTAAACTATTTAGAGGCCATTAAAGCTGTGGGTGCAAATTGGTATAAATACAACTTGTAATTTTTAAGTTTCAAAAGTTTTCCTGAATCAACAGATAATTTTCTAAAATTGTCAATATATTTTTACATGATGATTTTTACATGATAATATATTTTTACATAAGTGCATGCTGGCGCTTTAATATATCTAGCAAGTTCACAGTTTAAACTTCTGAAAAAAATTAATAGCATGTCTGCATATAAAGCATGTTTTTTATTTTAAATATGCTATTTGAAGTTTGCTTACTTGGAATCTAACATCTATTATTGTAGCAAACTGGTTAAAAATGTTATTTTGCATGTGTTTCCAGAAAAGGCTTTATGATTTTAAATACTTGTTCAAGACATGTAGTTCAAGACATGCACCTTTAAATTATAATTCTCAGATTGAAGTGCAAAATGCTGTAAAAATACTTCAGTTATCTGATGGCAAAAAAATAAATTTTTGTATAGATTTAGTAGAGTAAAAATTCCACATCAAAAATATTTTTTCACCCTTGTTTAGGTAAAACGAAATTAAAAAATAATACGTACATAAATAAATAAAAATAATACTTTTACATACGGAATTTGCAGATATTATTTACTAATCAATTATTTGTTATTGATAGCTACTTTTTATAACACATAGAAAAAATACTGATAAATTTGTAAGAATTTACATGCATTAAATGATGGAAAAAAAACATACATATGCTGTTAATAATAAAGTATTTCTTAAAAAATACATAACCTAAAAAGGTATTTCTAAAAATAGAGAAAACAAACAGCAGAGCAAAAATACGATGCTTTTATTGGAATTACAAACTATAGCTATTTTTTGAACGACAGTATCACGAAGCACGATCTCCTGATGATGACAACACTCACCTGTTGCCAGAACTTATCTAAACTATATATTATATTATTATTATTTTTTATTAACATACTTTAATACTTCCCTTGTAAAAAAAATAATAATAATAACTTAAAAGAAAAAAAAGTCACAAAAGTCCCATCTTATCACAAAGAATTAACAGTCTCGGTTTTTAAATAAAGGTTTAGTCATTATGTCAGCAACTTGCACCTCTGTAGGTACCTGCTGCACAATGATTTCCTTTTCTAGAACTTTCTCTCGTATGAAAAGTGCTTGATATCAATGTTTTTGTGCGTCGATGAAACTCCGGGTTTTGTGACCGTTTCACTGCAGCGGCGTTGTCTACTTGAATTACTGTAGTTTTCACGTAAATTGGTTACATCACTAAATAGTCGCTTTAACCAAAATTACTTCTCTAGAACATTCACTAGCTGCAATTACTTCTGCTTCAGTCGTCGAAGTTGCAACAACTGTTTGCCTTTGGCTAATCCATGATATAGCTCCACCACTATATAATATCACTACTCCACTCGTTGATTTTCCTGTTTCTTGACAGCCTCCAAAATCTGCATCACTATAGCATTCTAGAATTCCTGGTTTGTATTTATTCTTGTATGTAACACCTTTAGTTAGAGAACCTGCTATGTATCTGAATACACGTTTCACTTTTGTCCAATCATCTTTCGAAGGATTTTCTAGGAAACGTGATAGAATGCCAACACAGTAAGCTAAATCTGGTCTTGTGCATAACATAAGATACATTAAAGCTCCTACAGCTTCTCTATAAGGAAAAATTTCTCTGTTTGATTTATCTTCCTTTTTCTTTTCAGTTAGACCTTCCTTCAGGATAGGAGTTGACACTGGCTTGCAATCTTCCATCCCAAATTTTTGAAGAATTTTTTCTTGCATAAGCTTGCTGACTAATTTTAATACTTCCATCTTCAAGATGTTTAATTTCAAGTCCAAGAAAGTATACTGCTGGTTTAGTTGTGATTCTGAATCTCGGCTTCAATTCTCTGAGAAATTTTTCAGATTCTTGTAGATCTGTTGATGCTACTAAACCATCATCTACATATAAACTTACGATTAGCTTCTTGCCGTTATTGTTTCTTATATATAAGCATGGATCAGCTTCACTTGTCTTGAAGCCCAGCTGTGACACAAAATCTCCAAAATATTTATTCCAGCAGCGTGATGATTGTTTAAGTCCATACAAACTGCGTTTCAACTTACAGACTTTCTTCGAACCGTCACTATATCCTTCTGGTTGCTGCATGTATATAGATTCTTCAAGTTTTCCATATAAGAATGCTGAACCGACATCAAACTGAGAAAGATGCATTTTCTCATTGGCTGCGATGCTCAAAACTGAACGAATAGTTCCTAACTTTGTTACTGGACTAAACATCATTTGATCATAATCAACTCCAAAACGTTGAGTACATCCTTTGGCAACAAGTCTAGCCTTGAATTTATCAATAGATCCATCAGGATTCCTTTTGATCTTATAAACCCACTTGCATGGTATAGCTTTAGCATCTTTTGGTAATTTTTCTAAACTCCATGTTTCATTCTCTATCAATGATTTCATCTCTGAATCCATAGCTTCTTTCCAATTAACACTTTCCTTACAGTTGATCGCTTCTTCATAAGATTCAGGTTCTTCAGAATCAATAATAAAAGCTTCACTTATCATTATATAATCTTCAAACCGCTTTGGCTTTCTCAAGTCAGCTCTATCTCTTAGGAATCTCGACTGTGCATTATTTTGCAAATTAATATAAATTAATATCTTCACATTCTTCTCTTTCAGAATGTTCTTCTGATATATTTCCAGATATTTCTTTGTTGTATTCTTTTCTGAATTATCTTCTTCACAAAAAACTTTTCTGACTTATCTTTTTCTGAATTTGTTGATGTTCAAGCCAGAAATTAGGCTATCTTGATCTTGAATAGGTAACTAACCCTTTCTTCACAATCTGTGAGCTTTTCGTTAAATAAACATCCCGTGAACAGATCACACTATTGGTTTCTTGGATCCATAGTCGGTATCTTTCGTCTCCATCATAACCAATTAAATAAGCTTTGTAGCCTTATTATCCATTTTCCTTCTTCTTTGTTTAGGAATATGGGCATAACACACAGATCTACGATAGATGCTTGATTCGAGGTTTCTTTTTAAAACCATAGCTCATAAGGACTCATGCCTTCTACTGATGATTTGCCAGTTCTGTTTAGTACATATATGGCAGTGTTGACTAGTTCAGCCCACATTGCTGCAGGAAAATGAGCTTCAGAATTTGAGTACTTAAATGTTCTTGCCATTTCGATTATTGTACGTATGTCTCGTTCACTAGAGCCATTTTGTTCAGGAGAATAAGGTGCTGTTAGTCTTTGAGTTATACCTTCAGAATGCAAAATAGCACGCACTTTGTCATTGTCAAACTCGCCTCCATTATCGCTGAGAAATTCTTTGACTGAATGTCCTAAAATTTTATCATGTGCAAGCATGTGTTGTAACATATTTACAACAGCAGATTTTTCCTTGATAAAATACCCATAACGAAACCTTTGTGTAGCTATCTTTAAACACAACTAAGTATCTTTTCTTCTGGAAAGATTCATCAAAAGGTCCACAGACATCACTGGCTGGCTTTCTTATGCCAAATGGTAAACGGTGTGCTTTGCCAAAAATGCATGGTTCACACAATTTTCTTTGAAATGGGATTTTAATTCCTAATTCTTTCTCAAGCATGTTCTTAATGTGATGTTTATCTTGATGTCCCCATCTCTGATGATATAACTCTAACAAGGAATTGTCTGCTTCAGCAGCATGAACTTCTATAATTTTATCAGGCATAATAGGTTCGATAGCTGCCTTGTATAAAGTACCATATACTTTGCGAGTTCCAAAAAGCACTATTTGACCATTAACCTTTAACCAGCATTCTGCAACTGTTGAAATGAATTTATTATTCGGATTTCTATCTTGAGCAGCAAGTAAAGAAAATAAATTTCTGTTTATCTCAGGGACATACCAAACATCTTTAAGGTAAATTCTTTGGATTTTACTACCAATAGTTGTTTTGACACATACTGTACCTTTACCAAGAGCAACTAAAGTTTCTTTTCCAGCAGCCTTGATGCTACAGGGACTATCAAACTTCATAAAGTCAATAAAGTATGTGAAACAATTCATGATATGTCTTGTAGCTCCACTATCAATCCAAAAAGATGTTCGATCAGTCTTAGCCTCTTCGTCAATGGACATCAGTATTACACTGCCTGTATTTCCTTCATTGGTTTTCGTTAACCTATTCTTGGGTGGTCTTCCATCAGCAATCCATTGTTTACAATCTTTTACCCAGTGTCCTTTCTTTTTGCAATAATTGCAAATATCTTTTTTTCTTGGTTTTCTTCTGAATTTGTCTTTTTTATATTGCTTTTGTTTTTCAGATTTTGACATTACTAATGCCACTTATTCATTTGCATTGCCTTTCTCATGACTTTTAAATTCTCTTTCATGAGAGCAAAGCTGTGCTGTTAACTCATCAACTGTTCTTTTGTCTTCACCCAAAGAGTAACCAACTTGACTTAAACAAATGGCATTGTCCTGGTAAGACATCTAAAATCTAGCAATTGAGTAGCATGTCAGGTAACTTATTTTCATTTTTCTTTTCAAGTCCTGAATTCAACTCCTTCCACAAGTTTTTTAATTTGGAAAGATGAGCCGCCATATTATCATTTTCATTCCACTTGAATTGAAAAAATTGCATGCATATATTATACAATTGATCTTCTGATGATGCTTCAAATAACTTATGTAATTCCAACCACACTTCTCTAGCAGTCTGAAATCTCATAACTTTTTTGCAGAGTTTCTTCCGTCATGGAATTCGTTAATACCATCATAGCACTAGTGTTTGCATTTTGAAACTTCTTAACAGCTTCATTATATTTCTCTGTTGAGCAATCGGAGCATCTACAGGAAGAATTTCTGGTTTCACTATAGTTTCCTTCTACAATTTCTAAAGCACCAGGATGATATTTAAAACAAATTTTATCCTGTATTTCCATATAAGCCAATCGCTTTCACCTGATAAAGGCTTTACTTGGACCTTAGATAATTCCATACTTTGATTTCTAAACAACTTTCGATTGCTATAACGAAAACAAAACACTTACTGATTAGGCTTAACGAGTTCCGTTTCTTCGAGAAAACATCAATTCAAAACATTTGACGCAATATGGGAGTTTGCTTGACCCATAACCTAAAAAAGTATTTCTTAAAAAATACATAACCTAAAAAGATATTTCTAAAAATAGAGAAAACAAACAGCAGAGCAAAAATACGATGCTTTTATTGGAATTACAAACTATAGCTATTTTTTGAACGACAGTATCACGAAGCACGATCTCCTGATGATGACAACACTCACTGTTGCCAGAACTTATCTAAACTATATATTATATTATTATTATTTTTATTAACATACTTTGATAGTTAATATTACACTTATCTGAATATTTAATGATAATTCCATATAAGATTCAATCTATATAAGATTCAATCTATACCACTGCAAGGGCAATGCTTAAATCACAGTTCTTCTTATTAGTTAATTTCCATATGTAAAAACATAAAACTATCATTTAGCTACAGATCTATAGATTATGGCCTCTTGTAACAAGCATATGCAAAACACAGATAGTGAAAATAATGCAAAAACAGAATTTTTTTCACTATTTTTTTTTTCTTAATGTAGTGCAATTCATTCCATTATATGGAAATCTTATTAAAATACAGCAGTAATTTGATATGTTTTTCTATTATAAATCAACAGCTTTATATAGAATGATTTTACTTCTTATTTAAATGAATGTATATGGAAATATCAAAATAAATGAAAAAAAAAAAAAAGGTCTGAATAAATCTTAGCCAACACTGCTAAGATATTCTTATTTTCAATAAAATGTTTCAAGGTATATCATTTTAGTTTAGTTCTTTTTCTATTAAAGCAGCTAACCTAAAACATATATCTCATTAATTTGTTAAAAATATAGCTTAAAATGTAAAAATTAACACGTTGACTGCCGCGTGCATTTTACGTGATTTGCGCATGACGCCAACTTGAAATTTTTTATTGTGCGATATACATTATGTCGAAATATTATCTACAGAACATAATGTTATATAATCGTGCTTCATGCTGGGGGTCACCAGCGACCTCCAAACATCTGTAGACCATTTTTGTGATTTATAATTTAAATTCTTGCGATTTATTATTCTTCAAACCATTATAGTAACAATGGTACTATTTAAAAATTTATCAGTATCAGTATTTATTCTAATTATGTATTTTACTTTGGTAGCGTTGCCAGTGGCACCCACAGCGCTGTAGCCAAGTCGAGAGCAGGTTACCGGTTACCCCACGGCAGTCAACATGTTAAAATAAACCATCACAAGAAAAACCAAAAAAGAAGTATAAAAGAACAAGAAAGGTGAGGAATAAAACCAACTTTAACATAATATCGTCAAAAGGAGGTATGTCGAATTTAATTACATTTCCCCTTCTAAAACAAAATCCTTGCTTCTCTGTATCCAGAATCAGCTGATGAACCATTTCAATATATTTTTTATCTTAATAGTTCACCAAAAAATTCTAGTCCTCCTCAAAGCGAAGGAAAATCATTGAAAATATCTTCCGATTTAAAAATATTCTTCTAATGTAAAAAAAAAAAAGAAAGAAAGAAAACATGCTCTCCTGCAGTGGAAAATCTTTGAAAGTTCAAATAATTTTAACACAAAAACTTTACTAGAACCTCTTATCAAACAGCAGTAGCAAAGGAAAATGGGAGGGGGGGAGGGAAGTAAAATC